TAGGTGTCCTGCTCCGGCAGGGGGATTGGACTAGATGATCTTTCGAGGTCCCTTCCAATCTCTAACATTCTGTGATTCTGTGATTCTGTGATGACCTTTGCCTGGAGCTCAGCCCGGCTCCCGGGGAGGGCACCAAGCAGAGAATCCTCCGAGGGCTGTGCGCTGTGTTTATGTACCTGACAGCGGCATGCGCAGCATGTCCTGCCATAAACATTTGCCCTGATGAGCTGGATTAGCGAGGGAGAGCTTTATTTAGGGACCTCAGTCCCACACTGGGATCAGAGGATTCCTGACTCGATTTCTGAAAATACCGCTGTTGTGCTTTTTATTTTCTTTTACGGTAGCTCGGAGCGGGAGCCTGCGGGTTCCCTCTGCTCCAGCTGCAGTAAGTGGTGGTTGAGCTCCGAGTGCCTGTTCTGAGCGGGTGCATCCTTCGTGTCCTGCCTCTGCCAGGTTCCCCCTGCAGCTGGAGAGCGGTCAGACCGTGGAGTGCACGGTGGCTCAGTACTTTAAGCAGAAATACAACCTGCAGCTGAAGTACCCCCACCTGCCCTGTCTCCAGGTGGGCCAGGAGCAGAAGCACACGTACCTGCCCTTGGAGGTGAGTGTCAGGTCTGCGCTCCCCAGCTTTTGGGCACGGCAGAGCAAAGGCCTGTGGCTTTGCTGGCAGATGTGTGACGATATTCTGCAGCTGATGTGTTGTGGGCACTCGTTGCCTCAGTGTTGACCTGGCAAGAGCAGCTTCTAGTAAGCGATGGAGGCGAGCATGCTCTAAAAATGCCATTTTCCTGCAGCTGTGGGCTCGGCACCTCTGGTTTGGGGCTGGCTGCCGGGCCTGAGCACCGTGCCTGACGGGCAGCTCGGCCGTGGTCCCCCCGCGTCTCGCCCGTCCCTAACACGTGGCTGCTGTCTGTCCCCTGCCTGCAGGTGTGCAACATCGTGGCAGGCCAGCGGTGCATCAAGAAGCTCACGGACAATCAGACGTCAACCAAGCTAACAGCAAAGGCCAGT